ACAGAATCTTTTCTTCATATAAATCCGAAAATTGCGGTAACTATTTGGAAAGTAGTTAAGTCCTAGCTCCTTGTTGCATCCACACTGTTTACTTCCTCCTCTGCCTTTTGCCTTTATTTATTTATTTATTTACTTAGGGCTTTGCCTGTCACAGAACACACTTCTACTAAAGCTCTCACAGATGCCAAGGATCGGCAGCCCTCATCAGCACCAGACAGCTCCTTAGTTTACCTACTTAATCCCTGTGATGTTTATACTGTCAATCTGACAGGTTCTAGAATCACCTCAGAGCCTGTGAGGGAGTCTCCAGACAGGGTTGACTAAGGTGGAAGGACCCACACTAACTGTGACAATATCACTCCATGTGCTAGGGTGCTGAACTGAACAGAAAGCAGAAAGCAACCTGGGCAGTGACATTTATCTCTGCTTCAGGCTTCAGGCTGCCTCCCCTGCCTGCCATGATGAAATATCTCCTCAGACTGAGCTACACAAACCCTTCCTTCCTTACACTGCTTTGTCAAGTATTTAATCACACCCAGGAGAAAAGTAACTGTCCTGGATCCTCAATAATCCAATGAGGCCGGATTACAATACACACGGAAACTGAGGTATAAAGATTTGAAATAACTAGTCAAAATCAGTCCCCCTGGGAAGTCTCAGCTGTTGTGTGGACCAGGCTTTTTCTTTTTGGGCCACCAACTGGCTCCCAAATCATGACATTGTGACTTACTAGCTTTGAATGCTTGGCCTAGCTTAGGCTCATTTCTGGCTAGCTCTTTTAACTTAATCTGTTTCTCTTTGTCTCCCTTTTGCCTTGGGGCTTATTACCTTCTTTCTGTATATCTTACTTTCACTGCTTCTTGTGGCTGGTGGCTCCCTCGTTTTCTCCTCCTCCTTCTCTAATGACTAGATTTCTCCTCTTATTTATTCTTTCTGCCTGCCAGCCCTGCCTAGCCTTTCTCCTGCCTAGCTATTGGCTGCTCAGTTTATTAGATCAATCAGGTGTCTTGGGCAGGCAAGGTGAAACAGATACATCTTTACAAATTAAACAAATGCAACATAAACAAAAGTAACACTTTTTTTGAAATTATTTAAATTCTTTTGTATTTATTAAGACTTTATGACCTAGAATGTGGTCTGTTTTTTTTAAAAGATTTTATTTATTTATTATGTATACAACATTCTGCTTCCATGTATATCTGCACACCAGAAGAGGGCACCAGATCTCATAACGGATGGTTGTGAGCCACCATGTGGTTGCTGGGAATTGAACTCAGGACCTATGGAAGAGCAGTCGGTGCTCTTAACCTCTGAGCTATCTCTCCAGCCCAAGTAACACACTTTTACAGTTGAAGTAATATTCCACTGCATAAATAAATATAACATCTTTACATAGTTAAAATAATATACCACAACAATTATGAATGTCAAAATACAGAAAAATCACTGAGTGGTGGCGGCCCACGCCTTTAATCCCAGCACTTGGGAGGCAGAGGCAGGCGGATTTCTGTGAGTTTGATAACAGCCTGGTCTACAGAGCTAGTTCCAGGACAGCCTCCAAAGCCACAGAGAAACTCTGTCTGGAAAAACCAAAACAGAATCTTTTCCCTGGGGGACATACTCTGCTGAACAAAACCTACCCATGAGAGAATGGGATGGTATGACTGTTGTGTGATTCAAGGCTTCAAGGCAGGAGGATCAAGACTTAGGGGCTAGTCTGAGCTACGGAACAAGTAAAAAGTGCTAAGAGTAACTTCATGCAAACATTAAGCATTTTCAGTATTTTGGTATACCATTAAATTGTTCTGTACAGGGGCTGGAGAGGTTAAGAGCACAGGCTGCCCTTCCAGAGGTCCTGAGTTCAATTCCCAGCAACCACATGGTAGCTCACAACCATCTATAAAGAGATCTGTTGCCCTCTTCTGGCATCATGATGGCAGAACACTGTACACATAATAAATAAATCTTTAACATTATCAACATGGAGTAGTTTAGAATCCAAGCATTTTGCTTTCTATTCTCTCCCCCACCCCAAAGACAGGGTTTTTATGTATGTAGCTCTGGCTGTCCACAAACTCACAGAGATCTGCCTCCCAAGTGCTGGGATTGAAGCTGTGTACCACCAACGCCCAGCACGGTGCTACTTTCTTTATATTCCAATCTATAACCTTTTTCTTGGTTTAACAGTCTCTCTATATAGTCCATGCTTGTGATCCTCCTGCGTCAGCCTCCCAGTTGCTGTGGCTATAGGTACGTGCCATCACACACAATTTTCTTAAACATTATCTACACATGGTCTTACTGAACACAGAAGACTCGCCATTTTCATGTCAGAACCACAGGATTATTTCTTCTTCAAAAATAACTTAAAAAAAATGACAAAGCCTGGGCATTGGTGGCACACACCTTTAATGCCAGCACTTGGGAGGCAGAGGCAGATAGATCTCTGGAGTTTAGTCTGGTCTAGAGCTAGGACCTGATTAGCTAGGGTTGCACAGAGAAACCCTGTCTTGAAAAACAAAGACAAAGCATTTCTACCCCTTTTTCAAATAAAAAAAATAAAGACAACTTTAAATTTGTTATTTAGGCCTAAAAGCCTGTCAAGGGAGTTTTACCAGCTCAGGGCTCTTAGTATTAGCTGGAGTTGTTCACTGTCTGAACTTCACAGAGAGCAACAGGAGGATGGCAGTCACTTGGGCAGATAGAAAGTACAAGGTCTTGGATTCAATTCCCAGCACAAAGTGAACCTTACCTTTTAAAGAAATTCTTTCATTCCTGTGCCATTAGGGTGTCTCTGTGAGGCTGTGGCAGCAAAATGCAAGCAGCCCCATCTGCCAAACACCCAAGATTCTTCCAAGGAAGTCAGTCCTGCCTCCAGAGTTTTAGAAACTGAACTTTTGAGACTGAACAAGTTGAGTGCAGGGATTCGGAGGCTTATGATGTTGAGATGGTACCATGGGATACACAGGCCAATACCTCAGACTTTATTTACCACCCTACAGTACAAAACTTTACAATGACTTCAGCCAAAGAACCTAACCACTATTTATATTTTTTTGTAGTTTTAAATGTCTACTAATATGCAATTAAAGACATTAAATATCATTTAATCATTTGGAGAGAAAATACTGCTTGGTTTTGGACTAACAACTAAAATGCCTCACCATGTTTTTTTCTGGTAGAACAGTATGTACGGGAACTCTTGGCTGGCTGTGTAGATGAGTGGTAAGAGGCCAGCATGGGCCTAGGAGCTGAACTTTGTCTCAGTCCCTCCTCCTCTCTACCCTCAGATGCTGATGTGTAGCATAAATAGGGCTTTGTTAAGAGTTTTGCTGGGTGAACACCAAGTCATTACCATCATCCTCCAGATTTTACTTACAAACTGTCAAAGTGACCTGAGTCACTCTTCTTCACACTTCATGACTCCAAGCTTTAAAAAGTGTCAAGCTGGGTAGTGGTGGCACACACCTTTAACCCCAGCACTCAGGAGGCAGAGAAAGGCAGGCAGGCGAATCTCTGTGAGTTCAAGTCTACAGGGTGAGTTCCAGGACAGCCAGAACTAGAGAAACTGTCTCAAAAAACAAGAACAAAAAGGGTCAAAAAAGCTACTAGTAGCTACTAATGACCAAAAATGTGTAGACTTCTAATACCTAGAAATTTTAGAAAAATTTTACCCATTCTTTTTCAGGGGCCTGCTGAAAAAAATAAAGTCTCAGAGAAACCAGAGCCAATATAAAAGAAACCATAACTCAACCAGGCATAGAGGTGCACACTTGTAACCCTAGTACAGGCAGAGGTTTGTCATAGTCTGAGGCCCACCTCCATTCACTTCCAGTCCAGCCAGGGCTCTAGTGAGACCCTATCTCAAACTGTCACCCACTGAGGAAACCCTCTGTTAACTCTGGATTTTTGTTCTAAACACATTTAAAAACTTTTTAAGAGCATGAGTGCTTGCCTTCATGTATGTGCATCCCCACATTTTATATGCAATATAGTGCCCAGAGGCTCAGATGAGGGAGGGTGCTGGTTCCTTATGAGCTGCAACATGGGTGCTAGCACCCAAATCTGGGTCCTCTGCAAGAGTAGCAAGTTCTCTTAACCACTAAACCATCTCTTCAGCCTGACTCTTTGAAGTTCCTATTTGTAACCACCACTTCAAAATAAAAAACCTTAATGGCCCAAATCACCTTTGAATGAGATTCTGTGTGTACATGTTTGTGTGTACGGTGTGTCCACAGGCCAGAGGCTAATGACTCATCTTCTCCCACTGTTCTCATCTTACCTTTTTGAGACAGGGTCTCTCACTGAACTCAGGAGCTCATCAATTTGGCTGCTAGCTGGCTAGCAAGCCCCCAAGGATCCACCTACCAGTGTCCACCTCCCAAGTACCAGGGCTGGGCTGCCACACCCAGGTTTTCACAAGAGTTCTAGGAACAGAAGAAGTCTGTTCTCAGGCTCGCACAGCAAGCACTCTGCACACTGAGACATCTTACCAGTCTCATTGGATGAGTTTGATAAAATTTAAGTGTTGTGTATTTCCAAGTAATTAAGTTTTAATGCCAAATAAAGAGTGTATCAATGTTTTCAATTTACTTAACAAATAAGTTTAAGGGCATAGATAAAAATTTAATAACCCAAAACAAAATATTTCATTTATTAAGATATTGTATAATAAATGCCAGTGTTGTGCTGGTGTTTTTCCACTAATATTTTGATTAAAATACACAACACAAACTTACAGAAAATACCTCTTTAAGTGATTGAACTGGGTGCACACCTGTAATCCCAGCACTTTGGAGGCAGAGGCAGATGGAGTTCTGTGAGTCTGAAGCCAGCCTGGTCTACACAGTAAGTTTCAGGACAGCCAGAGCTGTAACACAGAGAAACCCAGCCTCGAGGGAAAACAAACAAGAAACCCTAAGTGATTGAAAAGTGAGGCAAGTGCAGATCCAAGCTTCCTTGATGAGTCAAAGATGGAGAACTTAGGAGACAAAGGCCCATTTACTGAAAGTTACATTTTATTTATATTCTTCACTGATCTAAAATCAAAATCGCCACTTACAGCAAATAAAGATACCATGGGCTGCCCTCTCCTAACAAAAAGTATTAGGAGCAGAGGATAGAAGTTGGATTTTCGAAATGCATTTTATTTGTTACTATAACAAAACCAATCAGACATAAACACAGAAACTCTCTTCTGTAAAGTAGATGCAATGCTCTCTCTCACAGACCTTTTTTGGCATTCTCTCTTATAGCTCTTCTAAGCAGTATGTATGACACACACCACAGAGGTAGGAAAGGCCATTTTTAATAAATTATCTTTCTTGTAGACAACTTCTCAAAATTAAACTGACAAAATGCTAAGCCATGCCCTGGATGAGTCTCAAAAGACTGCACCCTTTCTATCTGAAGAACTGATCCGCTGGAGTGTTATAGCCTTCGTCCGGTCACTTGGCAGCAAGATCATCCAGGGTCACAACCACACCAGGAAAGCCTTCTACTACCTCTCATTTGCCAATTCTTTGGACCACCCAGTCCTGCTGGCAGAGAGGACAGCGATTGTTCTGTTTCACCCACAGAGACATGCAGCAGTTGTGAAAGGAATGATTACATTCTCCCCAGACCACTGGAAGAAGAATAAAAAACAACAGCTGAGTAGGTGGGTATGCAGTGCATGCCTGTAATCTGAGTACTGAGGCAGAAGTGCTGCCAGTTCTAGGTCAATGTGGTTACAAAGCAAGACCTTGTCTCAAAAATAACCAATCAATCAATTAAACAACCTCCCCCAATCAACTGACATGACATAGTTCAATTTAAATGGTTAAGCTCAGGAGGACATGCAGGTGGGAGGGGACACATGGAGGGGGAGTTCATGGGAGGGATAGGCAGGGTGAACATAATCAACATACACTGTATGAATGTATGAAATGGAAGCAAAATTTTGAAATATTCTTAAAAATTAAATTACTAAGTTCAAAATTATAGTTAAAAAAAAAAACAATAAAATAGCCATGGCTTATAATCCTGAAAAAAACTGGCTAAGTGGTCATTTTTTTTTTCTATCTACAAAAATATTTACAAGTAGAGTGAGGTTGAACTTAAGAAATATGCCACTGAATGCAGGAGAGCTCACCCTGGTGGTGAAGACGAGGGCGAGCTGGTGGGCTGACCATCCCTGCCAACTACTGAAGCCCAGAACCAGGGCTATGTGTTGGTCTACCTAATACCCATCCCGTCTATGACCTGGGTGTGTCTGTGTGTACACACACACCGGTCCTGTGGACCCGGGGCTGGAGGATCTCCATGACACAGGACAGCAATGGGATGTCCAGGAAGAATCCTAATGAGAGCCCAGCATTGATGGTATGTAGCAGAGTCCAGGGGCCTCAAACCAGACCAATTATTCTTTGGGATGAACCCTGCATGTAAAATTATAAAGTTTACTGCACGACTCACTATACCACACTGCAGCTTCCATGAGGAGATTTCCCTTTTTCCCCTCTCCTTTTTTCTAAAAAAAAATAAAAAATAAAAAAAAAATGGGGGGGAGATGGGTGGGATCAGGAGGAATGATGTGAAAGACAAATGAATGAGAAGAAAATTAAAGGAAGGAGGGAGGGAAGATAGATGGATGGACGGACGGATGGATAGATGGATGGCACTGGCTGGGTGTGGTGAAATTTGCCTTTAATCCCAGCACTTGGGAGACAGAGGCAGATGGATCTCTCTCTTGTGACAGCCAGAGCTGTTACACAGAGAAATCCTATCTCAAAAAATCAAAACAAACAAATAAAAAGTACCACTGTGTTTTGGGAGTGAAGTCACAACCCCTAGTTCCTAAACAGCTCTGCTTGTTGTGTTCTGAAGTTAGGAGATTAAAGGATTTGAGTCTGTTGTAGATCCCAGACCTCCTCAACCATGGGGTGCACTTAGGGATCATTTGTGCTTTCCTTTCTTTATAACATCCTCCTTGTTTTTATTTACCAAGATACAACATTTTATAAGCTCTCAGCTTATAGGGGCTGTTATGAACAGATAGTAGGCATGGAAGCATCATCAGATATTGATGGCACATCTACTGAGCTGTTTTTCTAGAAGTGATGAATTATGCTTCCAGCTGGGTGTGGTCCTGAAGTCCCAACACAGGGAATGGATCAGTGAAAGGCCAGACTTGACTATATAGCAAGTGTCAAGTCAGGACCACACATGGAAACCAAAACCCAAAAGCAGTCAACCAATCCAAAAGTTACCATGCCAGCAGGCAGTGCAGCTCCTCACCTGACAGCTGGATTTGCAGAGTGGCTGGAGAGGCATCCCCTTGTGATCAGGGTTCTTTGCTGAGATAGGGCCTTGCTATACAGCCCAGGCTGGCCTGGAATTCACTATGTAGGCTATGGTAATTGCCCTGTTTCAGGCTTGCAAGGTGCTGGGATTACAGATGTAGGCAACATGCTCAAGTCTTGAAATCTGTCTTTCTTTCTTTTTTCCCTCCCTTCTGTGCTACTTCCTCCTTTTCTTTTTGTTTTTGAGACAGGGTCTCACTCCACAGCCATGACTTGCCTGGAATTCAATAAGATAGAACAGGCTGGTGTCCAACTTGCAGTGACCTTCCTGCAATCCACTGGGAATACAGGTGTGTGCCACCACTCCTGGCCCTGTGGTTTTCTTAGCAGAAAATGTATTTCTTTCTGCTTAGTAAATTGATCTCATTTAAGTTTTTTGGGAACTAAAACATTTATTAGAAAGATGGGTGAATTCTTTCCCTTTTAGTTTTAATTCTGATTTTGTTTTTATTTCTAATTGAGTGTATAGGATAGGGCATGCATGCCACAGCTTCCCATGGAGGTCAGAGGACCTCTGTGGAGTCAGCTCTCTTCATTTTTAAGTGGGTTCTAGAGATCAAATTTAGGTCATCAGGTCTAAGAGTCAAGGACCTTTACCCTCGAGCCATCTTACCAGCCTCTAAAATGTCTGAGTATGTGTAATAATAATTAATTACTGCTTTATGGTTTTTTATGTACTGACAAAGCCATTTCTTTCTTTTCTTTTTTGGAAAACAGATCTCACTACATAGCGAAAGCTGGCCTCAGCCTTCCCAGTTCTGGGTTTACAGGCCTGGGTTATCGAGGCCAGTTTAATAAAGTCAATTTTAATTCTAAATTCAAATATTCCCACAGAGATGGAAGAAAACCTCCAATTGAAAAGGCAGGAGGAAGAATTACCACATACCAACACAGTCCTCTTGTTTGTTTTCGGCTTGACATCTGAGGCAGGCATCTAAAAGCAAACAAAGCAAATCTCATCTGAGGTACAGGAGGCAACACTGGAAACCCAGATCTTCAAAGTCAAACAAAAGCCCCGAGGATCAGAGATGAAGATAAGAGTCTCGTATTATTAGTTTCTCATCTAAAAATAACTACTTAAAGAGAAATAAAATACATGGCATTCTACTAATTCACTTATGACCAATGTTTCACAAGGGCTAATGATGATTTTTACAAGTTCATATGTCAGGATAGTTTGGCAGTGGCATTAGAGAAAGTCACTCAAAGATGCCAACTATACCATAACAAATTATTGTAAGCTCACCAGCTTGCTCACTCACACAGACCAACCGTTAGACACAATTGTGATTATACTCATTCATTATTTGTTCATACACACATAAAGATCTAGAATCCGCTGAGGAATCAATAAAGGTTTTTGTTTTGGAGATAGGGTCTCACACAGCCCCTGCTAGCCCTAACCTGAACTGCCACACTGCAGACGATGACCTTAAAATCCTGCCTCTACTCAAAGTTTGGGATTACAGGCATGTGCCGGTTTTTTTTTTTTCTTTTCTTTTTTCTTTTTTTTTTTGTAAGCAAAATTCCTTTCCTTTGTTTTGAGACTGGGTTTCATGTTGCTCAGGCTGGCCTCAAACTATGTAGCCTAGGAAGGCCCGAACCCCCAATCCTCAATGTATTCACACAATGCCAAAGTACTTAAATAAATTACTTAAGTGTAAACACTAGAAATGGAAACCTAAGAGTATGCTACAAGTTTCTAAAATTCAATCTGTACAATACTTTAGGGACCAATGAAACTGATTCATTCTTTAAATGTATAAGCAGTGCAAATCAGGTAAAAGGAGGCTCACACTGACAGAAAAGGCTTGTTTTTAATTATGTATGTGTGCCTAAATGTGGGTATATACATGCAAGTGCCCTTGAGGTTCTGGATACCGATGGAGCTGGAGTTACTAGCAGTTTGTGAGTTGCACAACTTTGGTGCTAAGTATGTTAAGAGCAGTATGTGCTCTTCACCACTGAGCCATTTCTCCAGATCCAGAAAGAAAGAGGCCGAGGCAGGAGGACCCCTGTGAGTTCACAACTAGCTTTGTTACAATGTGTTGCTAGTACCAGGGCTAGAGGCATTCAAAAGGTTAAAAAAAATAATAATAAAAATAAACATCTAGTGTGGATTGAAACTACTCCCTCCCTCTTCTCACACTGGCTCAAGCACATGACACACCTGTGCCTGGCTCCAGCTCTGGTGGTCTCTGAACTCTAATGCTAGAATTGTCGAAGGCAGAGATCCTGCCTCACCTCCCGAGTGGTGGGACTAAAGGCCCGCACCACCAACTCCCAGTTAATAGTTTATGTGTATGCATGTTGTGCCTGCCTGTGTGTCTGTGTACCATGTTTATGCAATGCCCACAGAGAAGGGCCTCAGGTCTCTAAGACTGGCATTACAAATGGTTGTGAGCCACCATGTGGGTGCTGGGAATTAAACTCAAGTCCAATTCCCTGGAATTGGAAGAGCAGTCAATGCTCTTAACCACTGAGCCATCTCTGCAGCCCACAGCAATTTAATAAACTCTCACATAATTTATGTTACTTGCATACATTTATGCACCGTATGTGTCTAGTGCCCTCTGAAGCCAGAATAGTGTTGGATAAACTGGAACTGAAGTTACAGAGGGTTGTGAACTGCCATGTGGGTGTGGGAAATCTGTATGGACAATCTTCACTCTTCGGAAACATCTCTCCAGCCCCTGGTTTTTTGTTTTTTTGTTTTTGCTGGAAGCTGGTCTCAAACTCTCCTGCTTCGGCCTCCAGAGCATTACAGGTGTTAACCGACACTTTGGAAACCTATGTTAAGCTGGGATGCAGCTCAGTTGGTAGTTTGCCTAGCCTGAAGGAATTCAATCCCCATCATGCCACAGACATTTCTACAAATTTCATCGCTTGGGAGGAAGCAGGAAGATCTGGAGTCCAAGGCCACCCTGGACTATACAAGACTGAATGAGTCTAAAAGAGAAATAAATAAGAGCTGCGATGGTGGCACACGCCTTTGATCCCAGCACTAGAAACGCAGAGGCAGGCGGTTATCTGAGTTTGAGACCAGCCTGGTCAGCACAGAGAAACCCTGTCAACAACCACCAGGCCCCCCCCCCCCCAAGAGAAACTGACAGAAACAGGGTTCTTTTCAAGGTGGGCTGAGCTCTTAAACTATGTAAAACTCAACGAGATTACGATTTTTTGATACGTTTCATTTGGTCCAACATTTTCGTTCAAAATACTAAAATGTTGGACTACTAATGAGGCCAGGCGTTGGTGGTGCACACCTTGGGAGGCAGAGGCAGGAGGATCTCTGTGAGTTCAAGGTCAGCCTGGTCTACAGAGCAAGTTCCAGGACAGCCTCCAAAATAATACAGAGGATCCCTGTCTCGAAAAAACAGGCAAACAAAAAAATGGACTACTAATGAAAGAAGGTTCTTCGAAAGGGCACAAAAGGGTGGGAAGGGGACATAATTAAGTTTCATGTTTCTGAATCAAGCAAAGGCTTTTCTATCCTTGGATTCCCATAAATCTAAAATACTCTTTTGTCCCTCGCCTCAAGACATGCGAGCTCTATCTGACTCGGTCAATGTAAATTTTAAAAGCCAGCCAAATAGCTGCAGAGAACCCATACAAATGGCTGCGCATCATTTCGGTGGCGACAGAGCCATGAAACAAGATCCGCACGGTGGCGCAGGCTCGTCATCTCCAGAATTTGGAAGGTGCCGGCAGGGGCACCAGGAGTTCAGGGCCAACCTCGGCTAAATGGGCAAGTTCCAAGCCAGCCTGGGAAACATGAGCGTCTCTCCCCCCCAAAATCATTAACTAATCAATTAATTAGTTAATTAATTAAATGAACGCTTAGATCCACGAGAGG